CTTAAAAATTCACTCGTAAAACACAGAACAATTTCAATTATTGCATCGAAAATCACGGAATAAATGAACGTGTGAATAAAATGCTCCATTAAAAAACTTTCGAGAAATGTTCCTTCCATTAAAGCAATAAAATTTATTTTTTCAAAAGTAATACATTCATGTCCTAAAAAGCGTTATGTTATACATGAGAATTCAATACTGAAGTAAAAATCCATCAAAAGTATAAGTCTAAACTTCTAGATTTAAGTCCATGATTGCACTTCTATCAAAACAAAAATATCTAAAAATTATAATCAGTTTGTCGGATTTTCCGCATACCTGCTTACAGCTTCTTTAACTGATGATCTATGTTTGAAGACAATCCAAAAAATTTTCAAAAATATAAACATTCTGAACTTTAAACAGAACGAACATTATAGTATAAATTTCTACCTATAAAGGTAGTTAAATCTGAAGATACAAAAATTAAGCTTTGCAGTTGACATGAATACTCGGATGTTGTCACCATTGTGAGCAAGAATGTTATTGAACACCTCACAAACATGAGGCTTTATATTTGGTATGAATACGCAAATGTCTTTTTAAAATACTACTTTGGGCGAAAGCTTTGTTGCATATTTCACAACTGTGAGGCTTGGTATGAATTAGATGCATATTTCACAACTGTCACAAAGGCTTTCATTTCGTGAGAAAGCTTTTGCATATTTCACAACTGTAAGGATTTTCCTTGGTATGAATACGTAGATGTTTTCTTAAACTGCTACTATCAGAAAAACGCTTGTTGCATAATTCACAAATGTGAGGCTTTTCCTTGGTATGAATACGCAAATGCTGTTTTAAAGTATCATTTCGCGAGAAAGCTTTGTTGCATATTTCACAACTGTAAAGATTTTCCTTGGTATGAATACGTAAATGTTCCTTTAAAAGTACACTATGAGAAAATTTGTTGCATATTTCACAAACATGGGGCTTTTCCTTGGTATGAATAAGCAAATGCTTTTTAAAGTACTACTTTGGGAGAAAGCTTTGTTGCATATTTCACAACTGTGAGGCTTTTTCCTTGGTATGAATGCAAATGATTTTCCTTTTTAAAGTAGAAAATTTGTTGCTTTTCCTGTGGCATTTTCTTTGGTATGAATACGCAAATGCTTTTTGTTGAAAAGCTTTGTTGCATATTTCACAAATGTGGGCTTTTCCTTGGTATGAATACGCAAATGTTTTTTTAAAGTATCACTTCGTGAGAAAGCTTTGTTGCATATTTCACAACTGTGAGGCTTTTCCTTGGTATGAATACGCAAATGTTTTTTTTTTCCTTTTCCTTGGTGCAAATGTCTTTTTAAAGTACTACTTTGGGAGAAAGCTTTGTTGCATATTTCACAAACTGTGAGGCTTTTCCTTGGTATGAATACGCAAATGCTTTTTAAAGTATCACTTTGGGAGAAAGCTTTGTTGCATATTTCACAACTGTGAGGCTTTTCCTTGGTATGAATACGTAGATGTTTTTTAAACTGCCACTATCAGAAAAATCCTTGTTGCATAATTCACAAATGTGAGGCTTTTCCTTGGTATGAATGTGCAAATGTCTTTTTAAAGTACTACTTTGGGAGAAAGCTTTGTTGCATATTTCACAACTGTGAGGCTTTTCCTTGGTATGAATACGTAGATGTTTTCTTAAAGTGCCACTTTCAGAAAAACCCTTTTGTTGCATAATTCACAAATGTGAGGCTTTTCCTTGGTATGAATACGCAAATGTTCTTTTTTAAAGTACTACTTTGGGAGAAAGATTTGTTGCATATTTCACAAATTTGAGGCTTTTCCTTGGTATGAATAAGCAAATGCTGTTTTAAAGTACTACTTTGGGAGAAAGCTTTGTTGCATATTTCACAACTGTGAGGCTTTTCCTTGGTATGAATACGCAAATGTGTTTTAAAGTACTACTTCGTGAGAAAGATTTGTTGCACATTTCACAAACATGGGGCTTTTCCTTCGTATGAATAAGCAAATGCTGTTTTAAAGTACTACTTTGGGAGAAAGCTTTGTTGCATATTTCACAACTATGAGGCTTTTCCTTGGTATGAATACGTAGATGTTTTCTTAAATTGCCAGTATCAGAAAAACGCTTGTTGCATAATTCACAAATGTGAGGTTTTTCCTTGGTATGGATAAGAAGATGTCTTCTTAAAAGACCAGTTCGAGAGAAAGCCTTGTAGCAAATTTGGCAAGTTTTTTTATTGGTATGAATAATGAGATGTGTTTTTAAATCACAATTGTATGAGAATGTCAGCTTACATATTTCACAAACGAAAGGTTTTTCATTAGTATGAAGGAGAAAATGAGCTCTCAAATCAACATCTTGAGGGAGAGTCACGTGACATATGTCACAAATATGAGGATTTTCATTGGAAAGAATGTCCACGAGTTGATTCAACATGTCATTTCGAGGAAAGGCCATGTTTCTAATTTGAAGATGAAAGCTTCCCCTGTTTTTCTATCCGGTTAATACTTATTTAACATAAGGCGAAGAAACAAATGACAGATAACATCGCTTTATATGTGAATAGCAGTTTAGAATTATATTTTCGTGTTAATTCGCTTCATTTCAACGCAGAACTGAAATAGAAAAACCAGAGTTTTTACTTTCTTTTAAAACTAAAACCTAAAAAGTGAAATCCTTCTGAATATTAGAGCTTTAAAAGTATTAAAGAATTGTCGTACTTTTTTCCTGTTAAGTTTTCTCAAAAAAGTGGATTTTTTTAATGGCACGTGTGAAAAACCACAATCAAAATCTGAAATATATTTACTTATTATAGAAAATTATACACTCTTGAATTTGTTTTGATTTTAAAAAGTGTCACCCTTAGAAGCATCACGAGGGCTTTCCTCGCTGTATTTCGTTATTTCAATACGCATTCTTTACGAGGATTAAATCTGAGCCAGCACCCTTCTTCCCACGCCGCGCCACTGGCAAGAGTTTCAGTTATGACACATTTCACGTGCATCAGCCCTCTACATGGCGAGTCTTTAGTGGCACTTGCCACGAACTCATGACACGCCGATGACGAGTACATGACCACTAAGCTACCACGACCACCAGATTTTAATGAAATGGAAAGATATATTTATAGTTATATTGAGGTTTGTTGAGAGAGAGAGAGGGAGAGAGAGAGAGTAAAAATAAGTATATGTAGACACTAATATTGTTAACAAACACCAATCTTTCCTTGATCAAAAAATAAATCCAATTAGGTGTCTATTGTTTCGTCCTAAGATAAGGTGAACTAAGCAGAATATATTAATTTATAAAAATATGCCCCGAAACGGAGGGCATTAAGTCCTGCATAAATATGATAAGGAAGGCTGCAAATTCTTTATTGGCCGGATCCTTCAGATTAAAAAGGATTCAAATTTAACTTCATCGATCCTTTTCGATAGAAGAACGGCCGATGAGATGAAAGCGCAGTCAATTGTATTGTCGCCAACCACCGACTGCAAACCACATATTTAATGGCTCGACAAGGGCCGGCTCTAGCATTTTCGCCAGCCCTCTCTCTTCAAAGCAAAAACTTCTAATTTAAAAATATAAATTGTTCACATAGACACACTCAAATAAAAGAACAATTCTTGTGAAAATAAAGCACTAAATCTTAAAAAATACAAAATAATTTGAAATTAGGACATATTTACTTGTTATTATTTCAAACGAGTAAAATGTAAGATAAGAAATCGTTCATATCATCCAGCCAATTTCTTCGAAAAAGAGTCTACTGATGGTGAGGATCACAAGCGTTTATAGTAATTGGAAGTATTTACACTCACAAGATTAAAAGAAAACATCTCCTGTGGCCTTCTATCTACTAAAAACTCTTATTAACCCTGTCCCATTTTGGATAGCTAACACCGGACACCGTATGAGTAAAGAGAATGTCCATTGTGACCCCACTTCTGGATTGGAGAAAGTTACTATTGAAACATATGAAATTTCTCTATGTAACATATACTCCAGCATTGAATCCTTCGAATGCATAGGAGGACTAACATTAAACATACAGGGTACAAAATAAGGAAATAAGATACGTTAAATGAAATACCAATTTCGCACCCCATAATATTTCAAAAAATATTTTTAACAGAAATTTTTTGCGACAGAAAAAAATATTTTCTAGATTCCATTCAAATGCCACCCTTAAAATTTGCCTCCCCGGGCATGGGTCCGGTTTGTGTGGACCTAGAGCCGCCCCTGGGTCGACTCACAGGTATTGGCAGAAGAAAGGACAGTCTCTCATTAAATGTTTCGAAATGGCAAAAGAACCATCGAATTGTTATGGGGGCAATAATAGCCTTTCGACGGAAATTCACCAATCCATGGATTATATATATATATATATATATATATATATATATATATATATATATATATATATATATATATATATATAATTTCTTTATTTTATCTCGCTCTTTTAATTTATCTCAGCTGCACTTTCCTAATATTCAGAATTTGTCGTCTAGAGTGGTTAAAACTGGGATTGTGTGCGTGTGTGTTGATTCGATAAAATTAAACCACATATTACGATTTGTACATCACTTATATCGTGAATTCTTTATTTATTTATTAGAATTATATTTTTTGTTTACATTAGTATTTTTTACATTGTTTATTTACATTAGTATTACTTACATAGTTTATTTACATTAGTATTAATTACATTGTTTATTTATATTAGTATTATTTACATTAGTATTATTTACATTGTTTATTCACATTGTTTAATTATATTAGTATTATTTACAGTGTTTATTTATATTAGAATTATTTACATTGTTTATTTCATTATTAGTACCTTCATTGAACCAATAGTTGCTACGAGATCTGTTACCAACATCCCTAGGGGGCTTTATAGTAAATTAAAATCAAATAAAATAGATAACTTGTTTTATTCTGTATTATAAGGATTGTAAGTAAGTATATGTAAGTATATGTAAGTAAGGATTTAAACAGAGCCTTCGTCGCCCAACCGGTATAGTGGGTAGCAACGCTGACGCTGGGCCGTAGGTGCTGGGTTCGAATCCCAGAGAGGGCATGGGTCTTTGTAAATATATAGTACCTTTGTGGCATGATGTACTCTAAATAGCCAGAAAGCCGCAAGTCCTCTCGTGAAGTTTGTGGAAGGGGAAGAGAGGTGCGAGGTCACTGACCACCCCCAGGGTGTTCTGCTTCAAAGTTGTGTAGTAATCGAACCAAAACGTACTGTCACCTGCATTGTGCTCAAGGCTAACGACAAGCGTACAATCTTACCGTTTGCCACGATGAATTTTGTGGGCCTTGATCTGACGTTTTTGTCGATCAGGTGGCATAAGTAATAACAACAACATATCTGTCGTCGTTCAAAATCCTTTACTTTGGCGTGATGTCGAGATTTGGAGAGTGGAGTTTAGCTCTTGGGTCGTTCTCGTCACTTGACTGTGGCTCAAATTTAGGGGGATCGTCACAATTGCATAGTGAAGCTTATTTTTCAGAAGTAAATATCATAAAAAAATCAGCTTAAATGAACAATTTAAAACAGTTTTCTTCAGTTGGAAAGCTTCAAAATAAACATGTCTCACAACAAGGCAATAACGAAAGTATTTGAAAGGAGTACTTATATGAGACTTTTCAATAAAGAATTTTACTGAGGGGTATTTGCTTCTCTTTTTTAAAGAAACTTCTGCCACATTTTCCATCTTTTTATATGCATTATGGAAATAAATAATACGTATCAAGAGAGAGAAATTAGGCGAAGTGTGCTAACGAATTAAATATGGATTTTGATACAGCACTTATATAAATCCTGTTTCTAGACAAGTTACACTCAAACAGATACACGCTTTTGCATTCGGCGTGCAAGATTTGCATCTTTGCTTGGAAGCAGAACTTTTTTTACATTTTGTTCAAGTTTTTTTCTAGAAATTCGTTAAAATATGCAAAATTTCTTTTGAACACTAATGTAGTAAAGTCATATATGAAAGTCATATATCCTCCTCCTCCACCAAAAAAAAAAACTTTTCATTGAATACATAAACAATTTTGTAGTCAGAACTGTTACGTTATTTTAGAACAACTTCCTTTAACAGGAATTTTATTACCTTATTACACTACTTAAAAACTTTTGAGAATAATTTACCACAGAATGTAGAAACTCTGCATTATTATAGAATGTAAAAGGCTATTTTTGTATTAAATATATGATGAAAAGCATTTTTGATCCTCTCGTAAAACATTAAATAAAATAACTCCAGTTCTGAGGCTATCAATTAGAATATGGGACCATTTAACCAATAATAAAAACGGAGGCAGAACAAAAAAAATTGCATTTTTAATTTGCATAGCGAGCATTATTTTCTCAATAAGCGTAGCATTTAGATACAACTGAAATATGGTATGTGTACTAAATGTTTCGTTAATGGAGTATTAAAAAAAATATCAAAATTAAAATAAAAAATTACCAACCTTTTAAAAAATTATTTTAAATATGTGTGTAATACACCTATATGTGTCCAAGAAATCAGAATATATTTCTAGAATAATATTACAAATAAAAAATTAAAAATAATGTAAAAAACAAAAGCTAATGAGATTACAATAAAAATCAAAGTTTTTTTTTGAATTTACAGGAATAATGAAGTAAATAGAAGAAACATGATTTGTGTCATCATACATGTTAGAACAATTATTTCGTAATTTAGTATTTTTCAATGGAGTAAATTGAAAAAAAAATTGAAATGCATTTCAAAAGTTCCAAAAATTACCCGCTTGATTTGTGCTGCCATCTAATAAAAATTTCGAAATGAATAAAACATCAATGTAAGAAAGTGAATTTTAAAAAATATACCTGATTAATTAAGTAAATCAAGAATCTGTTTTCTGTATGAGAAATATGCTTATGACGCAAAGTTATTGTGAAAAGATACAATAAATCATGCCCGTTTGTGTAAAATGCCAGTGAGAAGAATGAAGATACATATCACTTATTTTTAAATATCTCTTGAAAAATAGAAATTTCATCTTTGAGAAAAAGAGATATTATTTCCACAAATTAAATAAAAAATTATCTTGTTTTATTTAACTGAACGAATTTAAAAAAGTAAATGGCCCATCTGAGATTTAAACGAGCTGAATAATGCTTCATATAGGGGCTCCCTCTTTCAAATTCGTTCGAAAATAAAACGTGTTGTCAATATGGTTTGATTTCAAGAGAGAACATTTGTCTAATACAGAGGTCTACAATTCGCGGCTCTTCTCGAAGAAGGTTGCGGCTCTTTAATCTGTATGAATTATCTTGCCTATATGGATTATTAAAAAATTATGTTTGCTAATTTTTTTCATTGTAATTATTTGGAGAAAAATTCCTGCTATGTGTGTGTGTGCATATACATTGAAATATTTGACTGGCTTAAAATTGCTACTATATTGAAACAATTGAAGGGACAAATTGGTTATTTGCAATGAAAGAAAAACTGTCTAACCAAATAAAATCAAAATTGGTCAAAATATCATCCGATATAAAACCAATGTATGGGCAAAAAACGAGCACAACCAGCATCCTAAATAAAGAAATTGATAACTTGTCCAGCACAGCATCGGACGACACCCTGTAAGTTTGAGAAAAACATACCTAATAAGATATATCTACCAAAAAAGTTTAAATGTAGGCATACATATAGATATTTTCACTAACAGTGAATTATTCTTTCGGATATATATAATCACCAATTCTCTTAGGAATGTTCTTTGATATTCTGCAACAAGATAGTTTCATCGAGTATTTAGAACTAGGTTAAATAGCTCCCACTCTTATTATGTTGGGAATAACGGGAATGTGGTGTGGTTAATATAAGTCAAGTACTTGCATATTACACCGTCCACAAATTATATTGATGAAAAGGCGTCACGGAATGCAGCCGGTGAATGGTTACGTGGGAAGTATTCTTCCCCACCCATAAAACTAAAATGTAAACATAAAATTCGGCAAAATGAAAACTGTTTCCTTAAATGCTACTGTTTAATTGGCAATAAAACATAGAAAACTGCAAGACATTCAAAAGAGACATAAATGGTACACGAAAGGGTTAAAGCTCATCATACACAGCAACAAAAATAAAATAATTTCTTATAACTTTAGGAATACACACACACACACACACACACACACACATATATATATATATATATATATATATATATATATATATATATATATATGTGTGTGTGTGTGTGTGTGTGTAAGGATAATTAAATTAGATTAAAAATTAAATTCCCTATCTAGCACTTGAATCATCTTTCTCAGGTCTCATCTTGAAGTATCAAACTAATCACCCATTTATTTCTTCCGAACATATGACCTAGCCAATAAACATTTCTAATTCAAGATCGTTAGATTTAATAGTCAACATATGTCAGCATTAACTTGCAAGCAACCTCTTCAAAGCAGCGATACTTACCATATGTTTTTCAAGTGTTATCCACTTGAAACCACCACCATGGCGTGTTTTTTACTCCCTGCCCTTAGCGTCAGAAGAGATGTCGAAACGATTGAATAAAGATCTCCTTTTTAAAACTTTAATCTGATTCTGTCTTAAAAATCATGACAAAATTAAAGACGGCAGGATCTATGTCTGCGATCTTAATGTAAAGAAATAATTTTTTTATAAAATATTTTAATATAAAAACGAGCGCAAAGTATGCCAGCTATCGAATTAAATGATGTGAATAACGATTACGGGACTCCATCAAACGATATTTCTCTCTTTGCTGAGGACGTCGGATTGCCGGAATAAAAAATGGTACGGGGAAAAAGAAAAGCGCTAGTAATCCCCGAAAGAACATCGCTCTTAACACAGAGAAGAATGCAGTGTTTACAGCCGAACGATATTCTGTTTTTGCTGAAGAGGCCATCCAGTTTACCGTGAATGGAAGAAACATTCTAATGGAGAGAAAAAGAAATAAAAATGGGGAAAGCAGGAATCCCCTAAACTCCATGATGAAAGATGTCAATCCCTTCCGCCAGAATAGATAAAAATATGTTTTCTCCGAATGGTATTGTGATTTAGTTCCATTGATACAATGATGGAAGGACCAACAGTACCAGAAAAAAAATCTTTTTCGCCGGAAAGTCTGCACGGTAATACTGTGAAATAGTGAAGCAACAACATTCAAAAAAAAATTAATTAAATTTTACTAGTGAAATAACGTGACAACAGCATCTAGATTACCGTTCACCAAGGGTTTCTGGCGCTGCAAAGTGGAGGTCAGTTAAATGGTATATTTCCAATTTTAGTAAAATTTAAGAACTGAGTTTGCTGAACAGAACTTTAAGAAAAAGAATAATATATGATATATTATAGTATTTAATTTTTATAATACAGTTGTGTTATAAATGAGATATTTTCTTTACATTTTAATTGAGAAAACAAAGTATATAGGTTTAGTCATACAAAATTTTGAGAAAATTTAATATACTTCTCATAATTTTATCTTAAGATGTCGAATGATTTAAGAGTTATGATAGAAATTGGTGTTTTAAAGTGAAAGATATAAATTAAGTTTTTAGAAAAATGACTAATGAGAGAACTAATACTAGAGATATTGATTTTTATAAGAAACAAAAGTAAAGTCAAGTTGTATTCTTTTTTCTCCATTGAATTCAAATGTTTTGTTGATTATTTTATTCAGCAGTAATCTTATTGCATGTCATTTAATTTTTTTTTTATTTTGAAATTGTTTGTTTTGATATAACGGACATATATCAGGATTCACTATTTCTCGAAATTTTCCTTATCTAAAATTTAAATTAACTTAATAACTTGAAGTCTAATTTTGGATATTATACAGTGGATAAGGGAGAATATACAATCATTATAATTTTGTATATGTCTCGAAACATTAAGAGGACAAACTTGTTTAGTTTGATATGTACACCTCTCATTGTTTCTTATCAGCATCCCTGAACATCTGTGAGTTGATGACGCAGATTTCTCAGAGAGATGTGTTCAAAATTAAGAGAGGTGATACAGTTTATATTAGTGAATGTGTGATGTAAGAGAA